AATGTTCAGTGTAAACCCTTTTCAAGCAACGTTGGACCAAACTTTTCCGAACAAATTTACTTCGTCCCCCTATCGCCCGACTTTATTGCCTGTCGATAGATAGCAATAGGTACACCAATTTTATAAGTTCTTTGTGTCTATCGGGACGTGTACCTGGTCCCACTAGCAATAATACTCACGAAATTGGCCAATAACATTTTATTTCTCCTTGAGAAGTTCACACGGGAGAGCCACAATCTTTCGTGAATATTTCCTCAATAACGTTTCTGAAAATAAAAGTTGCAAGACGATAAATGAGGTTTGTATGGGGATATTACACGATTGTGATCAATTACGTAGTGCCTTTTACAAATATGCTAAAACTCAAGGAAGCTATTTTCAACTCCAATATAGGGTAACATTACATTAACATATGTCCTAATAGTTTCAACTACAGAAACTGAAATTTGATGTGATTTTTTATAATATATGTTTTTTCGTTAACCAGTTGTCGTACCCCTATGAACGACAACCGAACTCGAAATTTGTGCGAGGTAAGGACTAACGAGGTTTTACCTTCTAACGTGTAATTCCTAACACGTGAATTGGTATAACCCTAGCTAGACTAGACTGGACTAGAGTACTAAAATGTCAGACATTGAAACACAGTCTCTGTTTTGTGGAATAATTTTTCATTGGAAACAGTGTCTTTTGTGTGAGATTTGCACAGAACAATTTTGAGAGGAAACTAATATGCGGTATAATCAAATGGTCTTTTATGTGACACTTTCTATCTTTGAATTCAAATTAAACAAAGTGTGTGTGAGATATTATCGAAATTTTTTATTCGTTTGAAATGACTTATTGATGCCATTATGTGTGGAGTATTAACATCGTTCGAATGTCCGCCAGGGCTTCTCTGGGTGAAGCGCATCCGAAACGTCTAATTTCAGATGCGCGTAATATCAGCTTATTACGTCCTACATATACTGCATATCAAAAACTTGCTACTGAAACCATTCTGGATACTTGATCATTCTTCTAGAACAAAGATACGTACAAGAATTCTAGAAAATTGAAGGAAGGGTCATAATTTTTCATTTGGTATGGAGAATATAACTGAAATTGCTCTTTGCGAGCTGTATAGGATCAATTGAGAAAATTTCTATGCTTGTACTTTTCTCTCGACTTTTCGTGTCCCCTCATCCAGAGAGGGGCGATGTCAATGACAGGTTTTGGTTCGATGAAGCTGCTTGCAGCACCCTCCTATGCAAGGGGTCAGCAGCCTTATTACCTTCCAGGCCAGTATGGCCAGGAATCGAGACCAGAGGCAATTTGTTAAGACTTTCCATTGAAGAAAGTCGTTTTTGACAATTTGCTATCAATTAAGACGTTGCTCCGTAGGTGCCAAGAGCTCTCAACGCCGCTTGAGTGTTCGAAAATTATCATTGTGTTTGTGTTTAACATTGGATTCTACCAATCTCTCCGCACACAATTCAATAGCATAGATTTTCGCTTGAAATACAGTCTCATAGGTCCCCAGACAGGTTGATATTTCTGTCCTGGGTCTGCGACTGAAAACACCTACTCATAATATTTCCTTTCCCCGGAGGATCCAGTACTCTCTAATTTTGAAAAGTACTGTATAAGGCAGTAGTTGACAGTTGGAGGCATAATGTCAGAAGTCATTTCCAGAATATCTGTGACTTCCAGTCTCAATCAGCAGTCTATTGTACTGTTCATCAGATTGATATGTGCAATTGGCACATAAAATGTGGAGAGGAGGTGGATCTGAAAAAATCTTCATGACTGTTGAGGGAGTGATAATGATTGCACCACAGATGGCCAGACAAGACTGTCTCTGTGGGCTAGAGAGTCTTTTTCTGTAAAGCCTTCGGCCACCAGGCAATTGCTACATAAGTGATCCAGCCAGTTATGGTCGATTCTATGCCTTTTCCAGCCAGGAATGATCCTGTAGATTCGGGTAGTGCCTTGACAAATGCTCCTTCTATATCTAGAATTACAGTAACCGCAATCTCCTTGTTGACAAGGGATGGGGAAATTTCCGCTACGAGTTTCTTTAATGCGAAATCTGTGAATCAGCCGGCTTGATATGCATACTGCATGTAAAGCAGCCCCCCTGATGTGTCCGTTCAGAATCCTTTCAAGTCCTTTTGGAATGCTGAAGGAAATACCTCTTTAGGAAATATCGCCGGAAATTAAACAAAAACCAATTACGAGCCCAAAGAAAGTGGAGAATTTACGGTCGGAGTTTCTGTAGTTGAGCTGAAAATTTTCTGCGAAGAGGGCTAAAACTGTGAAGAAAATACTTCAACTATGACCACGTCAATCATTGATTTGAATAATAATCTATACGTATGCATGAATTTCATTATTTCAAATTGAGAAAAAAGGAACAAGACTATCAATCAAAATATGAAAACATTTGTGAACCACGTTTATATGGTATATTGAAGGTTTTTGTGATCTAATAGATTGAGTGTGTACGTCCAAGGTCGGGTTTAAAAAAGCAGCTTCAATAGCTGAACCCCACCCATTCATCATACTTGTTAAACATACATTTGTAAACCACTGAATATGATGAATAAAGGTATCTTATTATTATTATTATCTTCAAGAACGATCTTATGGAACAACCGATGTCATTGAAATCAACACTTATATTTTCTGTCAATACCATTTTCGTCGAACGCTGAATCTTTTGGGAACAGGGAAAAATCATAAAATCAGATTGAGTGATGTGATAATTTGGCGAAATGGAAATTTCCTATTGTTTCAGAAAAGAAATCTGTTGAAATATGTTTTTCCTCAACAGCTGTCGCACCCTTATGAACGATAACCTTCAGAAGTCGAAACTTGTACGAGTTAGGGATAAACGAGGTCTTACCTTTCGTCGTGCGATTCCTAGCACGGGCAGTGAACACTCTTTTGAAATAATAGTGATTTAAATAGGATATGTCCTTGTTGCCTCGATGAGAAAAAAGACGAGTGTTGAATGATGGGAAATGATGGGAATTAGATGGGAAAAAATTCAGGTTGGTCGAACACGTTTCAGAACATCAAAATATAACATTGAAATTGATATAGACATGAGTCATTGCAGAAATATGGCGTCACTTATTTGAAAGTTGAAATGGAATTCCAACCAGCAAAATTGTTTTATAATTTCATGGTGCTGCAACAGTTTCATTTTGTTGGTATTTCATAATTACTTCCAAAATACTAATTGAGTATATCAGACAAGTCATGATCGCAATAAAGTTGTAGGCAATGAAAGTGTAATTGAAACGTTTATGAAATGAACTTAAAATAACCGTTATGAAATAGTCACGGAATTATCACAGGAAAGTCTTTTCAACCAATTAATAAAACATATTTTCCTATGGGAGTAAACTGTTTTGTAGTAGTTTTATAGCACTTTTCCGCGAGGTTTGTATGATCTATATAAAACTATGTTATGACTGCTTCCTGTAGCTTTGATGAAATAATTTTATTGGAATGCTTTCGAACACAATTTTGTTTTTATAACCATATTTCAACTTTAATGATAACTTCCCAACTATTTTATACTAATAATAATAATCTTTATTCAGCAGCAGATACAGATTAAGAGTGCTGAGTTAGGAGTGCCCCAGGGGTCTATATTGGGACCAACTCTTTTTATATTTTCAAATGACATCTACGATACCTGTACCACACCAAATAGAATGATACTTTATGCTGATGATACAAATATACTTTTAGCCCATAAAACCTTGGGAAGTCTGGTAAACTTGGGTAATTATGCATGTGATGAATTCAGTAAATACTGTAGCGACAATGACCTTGTCTGCAATATAAAGAAAACTATGTTTATCAATTTTTTACCTAAGAACGGTACTTCGAATCCAGATCTATTGAACAACTGCTTCTACAGTATGGATGAATTTCTTGCTTTTAGTGCTTATACTTAGTTTATTTTATACATGTACTCTTCTCTTTCAAGTTTGTTCAAGATCAAACATTTTTGTTTTGCTTTTAGCGTTTTACTTTTGACTAGTCCAATAAGTTTTCTCACATATTTAGTCTTGTAATTATGTATGTGTGAAAATTTCAGTGATGAATAAAACTATTTCTATTTCTACTTATAGCTATTTCATAAACACATTGACAACATTTCTGGGAGAAATACAGTTTTATAATTTGTTTCTCTGGAACTTTTTCGCAACTATTATAAAATTTTAGATTACTAGTTGGGATGGTATTCTATAAATTTTTTTTTGCTGATTTTGTATCCAAAATCATTCAAGATGTCAGCTGAAGTATTTACCTACAGTAGCAATAAATTCCAATAACTCTTAACTGACTATTCATGTTTTCACTTCATTATCAGTTTCAAATTTATGTGACAGGCGTTGACAATCAACCTTAAATACCGACAATAAACATCAAAATACCTTTTCATCACAGAATATCACTCAACCTTCAGGTGTTTCCATAATTCCTCGTCCACAATAAAGACACAAGCATTTCATTGAATTTCTCCAAAAAAAGGGATCGAATACTTGTGGTCCCTGTAACGAATTGGCTTGAAATGTTTTGTAGAATCCCCAGTATAAGTTCCCTCTCAATGGTTCAAAATAGATAATATATTTTTAACTTGTAAAGGATATCGAATTGAAGTCATTCCGTTTTCTTAAAACGTTTGTAAAAACATATTAGGGACAGGTTATAAATCAACCCAAACGAAAAATGCGTTTTATTGAGGTACTGTTGATAATAATGAGAAATCCCAGGCTATTAGTAAAGTTAATGTTGGCATCATATAATTTTCAATGCGAAAATACAAATGTTAAACTTTAGATGCCGAAACAACGAATACTTTGTAATTCAATGAAATGATTTCTTTTCCATCAACAACTCTGAAACTCATAGTTTTGTCCTTTCTTGTTAATGCCCTGTATACCTTCTTGAAGCTTTCTTGTTTGTCATAGGGAATGTTCGGTAAAAACATACAAAACGATAAATGTTAAACTTTAGATGCCGAAACAACGAATACTTTGTAATTCAATGAAATGATTTCTTTTCCATCAACAACTCTGAAACTCATAGTTTTGTCCTTTCTTGTTAATGCCCTGTATACCTTCTTGAAGCTTTCTTGTTTGTGATAGGGAATGTTCGGTAAAAACATACAAAACGATAGAAATACATCTGAAAAAAAGAAGATGTTGAATGATGTCTATAGTAATGTTATTAATATAACATAAATGAGAGACTATGGAAATAAATATGGATAAGTGATTATCTAACATTATAAAGAATTTCTCCAACAGAGATGCATAACTAAGAAGAATAAGAAGAAAAGATATGATCATAATACGAAAACATCATCAGGCCAAATATGAAAAATTCCCTAACTTTGCCGGCATTCGAATGAATGTACAATCATGTTCATGTTCATAACTTAACTACAATTATGACACATCATATCTACACACTATGTAGCAAAAAGGATCAATGAAATCTTTCTGTCTATCTATTTATAAAAATCCACGATTCAATGTAAATATAAATATATGATTGAGAACATGAAATATTTGAACGTAAACACCAGCATGATTGATGTTTATATTCATATCAACAATTGAAGAAGTTCACACATAAATATATCAATGAACAGAAATCAAATCAGTCTGATAACTCTATCGTGGAGAGATACAAATATATCGAAATGTAATTAGGAACATTCACGTCTATCAATGTCCCTACATAGAAGGATCTGGCAAATATCCAACGGAAAACTATTGATTTTCTGGCTATCATCACGACGACCAGACTACTTTTATGGGTCTCTTCAATCTTGGTAACAGAAAAAAGTCGCAGGGGCCAAATCTGGTGAATACGGTGGCTGAGTCGTTGTTGTTTTTGGCTAAGAAATTAGGAACAAACAATGACGAGTGAGTAGGATCATTATCATCCACGCCACGGAAATCAAAGAAAACAGAGAGCAAAACCTTGAAATTTGATCGAACTTGGCGTGCCTTTTTGGTCTTGGCTCTTTCCTTGAGAAGATTGAACTCTGGTTTCGATGTCATAACCATATATTCATGATTTGTCACAAGCAATTATCCTTAAAAGCAAATCTGGATCGCCGTTGATGTCATTCAACAAGTCTTGAGCGATGCTCATGCGACGGTTTGTACCTCTTGTGAAAATCATTTTGACTCAGAGTACAATCACCGTATGTCACTGTCAATATTCCAAGTGTTTTTGAGCACTCAATTCCATNTTTAAACAAAATTTGATGCAAATTCTTTCATCCATTTCTGTCGATAGCATAAAATCGCTGAACACGCAAAACAGTTCTACCTTTAATGCCTCTCACCAACAAACTGAACATGCTAAACAGCTGAAGCTGCGGATATATGTTCGAGACGGGTGTACCAACATAAAAAAATAAAAGTCACCAATTGAATGTACATAGGCCGCGAAATTTGAACATTCACCTTATTTTTTGAACAAACTTCGTACATAAGTACTTCATTGACTTGTGTTTCGTACACTTCTAAATAATATATTGTATAATAATGCGGCGTTGCGAATTGTTCCGTGAAAATCTCACAATAGAGAATATCAGATTCGTACACATCTCTAGCCAAAATTGTTCGAGTTGTAGAATATCATGAAAAATTTAATTCATTGACTCTGGTGTCATGTTGTTTGCTACCTATCATCTGTCACCCTCAAAATTATTGTATTTCACACTATTTTAGCACCACCTGCGGTACCACCACTGGTGGTAATTGTAACTATGTACGCCTACATCTAATTTTTTGGGCACGGTCCTAGATGAAACTCTCAGCTGGGACGAATGCATTAACAGCATTTGCTCTGAACTGAATAAACATTACTTAACAACCTGGAAAGATGCCTGAAAGAAGAAAGGCTAATCGCAATCTACTATGTCCTCCTCTTTTCGGCCACTTGTTACAACATCTCAGTATATGGGCTAGCAAATTCCAGTAACAGAGTTTTTCGGACACAAAAAAAATAATTCGTGCTATATTCAGGCTAGACAATCGTGAGTCCTACCGAGAGGTGTTCAGAACAGAGCAATTATTTACTTTCACAGGTATTTATTTCTATAAACTATTAACATATATTTACGAGAATGAAAATATCTTTGGACTTGATAGCGACATTCAAGGTTACCTAACAAGACAAAAAATTCAATTCAGATTGCAAAAGGTGAGATACTCAAGTTATAAAAAATCACCAGACTACGCTGGTATGCAGTACTTCAACATTTTACCCAAAATTTTGAAAAATATAACAAGTCTGGCCAGACCGTGTTAGGAATCACACGTTAAAAGGTAAGACCTCGTTAGTCCTTAGCTCGCACAAGTTTCTCAACTTCTGAGAGTTGACGTTCGTAAGGGGGCGACAGCTGATTAACGAAAAAACAGATTTTAAACAGATTTTTAAACAGATTTAAAAATAGTCTCAAGTCGTTTTTGATCATGATAATGCATTTTAGAACAAATCATCTGAAAGAACAATTCGTTCAGGCCAGTCTCAACTTCCTACATTGTAGCTTAACGGACTGACACCTATCAGAAAACAACTACTCCCCTGGCTAATAGCAAGAGGGGCGTTAGATTATATCCGCCAGGTGTCAGTGCAGGATTTTCCACTGATGTTATTCCTTCATATGCTGTTGGCTTATGTTATAACATTCAGGGGTTTTTCTGTCTATGCAATATGGACTGAGACGAACTGATAAATTCTTTTTTATACTGTGAAAATTCATTTTAATTAACATTTAACTTACACTCCTCTGTTGTCCTGTATGACATATTATTACTATTGCATCGTTACTTTTCAATGGAATTTTTAATTTTTATGACCTGTCAATTCGATGTGAATTAATGATTTTATGATCAATTGAACTGTCTGTCTGTCAAATTTATTTGGCTTGAAATATGCAGCAGGATGCAAATGTGTGGAATAAATTTGATATTTAAAATTGGCGTCAACTTCAATTTTCGACGGCCCATCTCATGATATACATTATGAGAGACGTTTCGTCACCGGTGTTGGCGTAATGGCGTAATCGAAAATTTTTTTGAATGCAAACAGGCGTCATGTGGCACCTCATACAAAGGTTCTACTAATTGTATATAATTATTATAATATTCATATGTATAACGTGAACCAGATGTTTTTTCAATAAATACAATAAAATCAAAATAAATGTTCAAACTGATGAACATGAGCGATGATGCAATGAGAGAACCGGACAGTGAATTCCTTTCTAACGTTTTCGAAAACTCCGCCAGGGTTATTTGTGCAATCTCCATTCTGATACGTTCCTTTTTTTTCGTAAACTTTGCTCTTTGAGAATCCACATGAAAAAAGTCTAACGGTGCCACATCCGGAGACCTAGGTGGCCATTCGATCGGTCCTCTTCTTCATATCCACGTACCTCGGAAAACAGTATTCAGGTAGGTTCTACATCAACGACATAATGTGGAGTGCCCCATCTTGCTGGAACCACGAATCATTTCTGTTTGGAAATGGCTGATTCAGTTATGGCATCAGATAACCCCGAAGAAAGTGTAGATACCGACCACCACTTACGCTTTCTTCAAGAATTGAATGGTTGTTCAAAATTCCGGCCCAAACATTCACTTTTTGTGGATATTGTGTGCAATGCTCTTCAATTCAATGTGTATTTTGTCTTGCCCAGTATCGATATATCTGACGGTTTACCTGACCGTTAAGCATAATAGTAGCTTCATCTGAAATCATGATTTCGCAGAATTGATTCTATTGTCAAAGTCATCTTCTAACAGTTCTTGGACCAGATGAACTTTATACGGATGACACTTTTCTTTTTTCAACACTCTATAAACACTCGATTAGTGTAATTTTCTACCCAGTGCGACTTGCTTCGTGCTGGTATAGGGGTTTTTTGGTAATGCAAGTATCACAATAAGGTTTTTGGCTTCTGAAATTGATTTTCTATTACTTTTGGGCGGCGCTTCAACAAGACCCGTTTCTCGAAACTTTCTCTTAATTTTACTGATTGTTGATTGAGAAATGGGTGCTTGTTTTGGGTATTCAGCATTGAATAAATCACGAACTTCTGCCTGATTCCTTACTTCTTCTCCACAACCAATCATAATTTAAATTTTGATTCGTTCAGTTTCTGTGAGTCTCTTTGTCAGACTATAAGTGATTTGAAATATTCCATATTCCATTTTCCAAGTAGAGTATGGAACTTTCGTCAATCAATGCATTTTTTCCGATATAATGAAAACAATAGAACAATATTGTACATTTTATATTGTATTCTTAATGTGGTGGGCTATCAAAAATGAAAGTTGACTTGATTTTGTATTTTCCTCAGAAGAGACCAATTTTTCAAATATCGAATTTATTCAACATTTGCATCGTACTATGAAGTTCCCAGGCTGGAAATCAATCTTGTCATGAATTCGAAATTTCTGTCGTGTGTTACTAAAAAAGAGTTATACTTACTGTCAAACTCGTTGCCATCGAGAAAATCGTAAGAATCGATATATTCGAATAAATCATAATTTTGAAAGTCTGATTCGTCCAAATCTCTTTCCCATTCTCGTCGGGGATTGGGACTGTAGTAATATGGCGATAATAAATTTTCCACTCCATATTTGTTCCATTCTGGATCTTTTGTCAACTTTTCAACTGAATCATCAACAGGAGTATACTCGAAAAACGTTTGGAATATAGAGCCTCCTGGTTTGAGCATTCTGTACATATTGTGAAAAGCTTGTCTAGAATAGAACCAAAAAATGAATTGATGTTCAACTATTCCGATTCAGTTTGTTTGTGCAGAGGAATTGACTCTTTTATAAAAAATTAGAAATCATTTCAATACATTCTATGGCAAAAAATGCTTTGAACGAGGAACCTCTCCATAAAGACCAGGGAAGAATAAAATTTTAACTCTCGTTTGAAGTTTCTCAGCGATACACAGGGTAATTCAAATCGACCCCCACCATTTGGATCTCCTAAACTACAGGGGATACGTCGAAGCTCAAATTGGGGCAAAGTTGAGATTTTTGTGCTCAATGAAATAGTGTTTTGGAACTTGACAAATTTTGAGTATTTTCGGAAATATAAAAAAAAACTGAAAATCGGAATTTTTGTATTTATTTTTTTCTACCGTTATTTGACAATATAGCTCAAAACCAAAAACACATTCATGTTGACACTTATTTTCAGCTGAATGTTTTCATGTTCAGTTACTATTCGACGTTTCGTCTTCTGGCAATCATCTTCAACTTGTTTCTATTGAGGGCGCCATACTGTTCCTTTATATTGAAGAATAGTGCTTCTCATTCTGATTTCATTGATGTATAATATGTTATGATTTGCACTTCTGAAACCACCAGATAGAACATTATTCGCTATTTTGGACACTTAGCCGAGAACAGTGCGTTTTAAAAACCAAAAATGAAATAATGAGCTAGTTAAGAATGCACAAAAAGTATAACAACAAGTTTTTGAAATGATGGCCTTCCACTCAAATACGTAAGCGAGCTCGTCTTCTCAAATTAAAAACAGCCCTAACAATATCCCTTCTTCTGATTGACCTGAATTGCGTGATGATATTTTGTCAAAGTTCACCGACTGTGTTATATTCTTACTCTCCATAGATTCTGTTCTTCAAAGTGTCACACTATAAAGTATCCAAACCTCAAAAATAACACAGATCGAAAAAGTATTTTCGTCGGTCCAAATAATGTTTTTTCAAGAAGTTTATGGGGTCTATCCTATTCGAGAGCCAGCTACAAAATTCCATTCCTCTTTCAGAATCACCTGGATGTAATTTTTATGAAATATGTATCTTATAATATTTCAAACCACTTCTTTGAATTCCCTCCAAAAAAAGTACCAAAAAAAATTATACTTTTACTTCGAATTTCGAAAGAACAATCATTTTACCTCAGCTAATTAACTATTTCTAGTATTTTGTTCCATTCTGCTTCCATACTTTATTCTTAGCTTCTGAAACGCACAGTACTCAGCCAAATATTTGTCCAAAATTGCAAATCATTTTCTATCCTGCTGTTATCTTTCGAGAAATGATTCAAAATGAATTTGTGATATTTTCGTACTTTTCCTATCAAATTAATAATGAAGTTCCAATATACCTATCTTGTTTTTCTACATTTGAGAATGAGGAAATTTCGGCTGAAATGTATTTAAATGCATTTAACAAAATTTTTCGAAGTAGTCATGACCATCTGAGATGAAGTTGTTTTCATTTAATACCTGTGGTTTCAGAAGAGCAAATCATAACAAGTTATACATCAATGAAATCAGAATCAAAAGCACAATTTTCTGTACAAATATACAATATGGCGCCCATAATAGAAAAAAAAGTTGATGATGATTGACAGAAGACGAAACGTCGCGTAGTGAATCTTTTTGGTTTTGAGCTATGTTTTCAAAAATGAAAACGAAAATTCCCATATTCAGTTTTTACCGGTTATTTCCGGAAATACTCGGAATTTTCCAAGTTTCAAAACGGTATTTTTTCAAGTACAAAAAAATTTTTACCCCAATTTAGGCTTCGACGTATCTCCTGTAGTATAGGAGATCCCAATGGTGGGGGTCGAATTTGAATTACCCTGTATAGTAGCATACAATTGAGCTTGTTACAATAAATTCAGAGTTGCGAAAGAAAATTTGACGTGAAGTTTCGGAAATATTTTAAATCAATTTGTAAGAGACGCCAATGAGATTCCTGAAAATGTTTCGAGGAGCTGTTTCGAGATATAAGTTTCATCTTCAGCATATCATTTTAGCTCATCGGTATATTTTTATCGAAATTATTGGAGGTATTTCTGGGTAGAGTTTTGAAAATTCCGACATCTTATGGAAATATTACCGGTAGTAATCGTTGGTAGTTAAAGCCAAGCCAAATGATGAGCTTACACATCCGGAAATATTTGGAATTTTCCAGATTTTGAAACTTTTCCTTGAGTTATCTGACCCTGCATCTTTAACGGTTTCCGAGATCTCAGTGGTCAACCTCGAACTTGGCACACCCTGTACTCTCCATAATGATTTTTCTTCTTTTTGTTTTTTTTTTGTATATGTATTTTTTTCTGTATTGCACAGAAGTTTTTAAAGTATTCAAACAATAAAGATATTTTCATATCTGAAGTGCTATATTTATGTCAGCTTCAAAAAAGCCAGGAATAATCGGCGAAAAATTGAACACAGAGTAGTCTATTTTTTATTTCACTCGTTAGTGAAAATACTACGTTTAATACCTTTGGACGTAAGCAGTTTTATCATTGAGAAAGATTTTTGAATGACGTATTCGATAATTTTGTCTGTAAAAAAGAACTGAGAAACTATACAGATACACATTCCAACGTTTTTTAGAAAAATCTGCCTCCGCCCTAAACGGACAAGAAAAATTTTCCAAACAACTACAGTCGCTTTATTATTATTGATATTAAAAATCATGGAGAAAGACGAAAACCACCATATTCTCGAATGAGGCTTTGACATCTTGAGCGATCATCAATATCGCTTGAAACAGGCAACTTTCTATCGTATGTCACTCATATTTGGAAAAACGCAATGGAGAGAGGGTTTGCTGGCCAAACTTCGATGCAATAACTGTCAGATCATTCGCGTGTATGGCTCTCAAGCTTCCTGAAAGAATGTTGCCTGTCGATGGATACCTCTCGAATACTGTTACCATCAACGCTAGTGTTCCCCAGGGATCCATATTGACCCATTGGAAATAACGAAGAATCCAATATATTGCCCTGGTGACACGGCACATTTGTCTCGTATTTCCATTTGGATTCCAGAACATTGGCTACGGATGCCCATTTTCACTAGCAGCAGAAGGTTGCATCGAGCATCTAGAAGTGATTTTGGGATGTTCCTTTCAATGCCACAAAAACCCAGGCATCGGTTTTCTTTAAGAAGATAAATGTATCCGAACCGGATATGATAATGTCAAAACAGATAGTTCCTCTTTCTGCATCGATAAGCACCAATAAGTCTTGGCACAATCATGTCACTGGAATTGCAGAGGCTGCTTCTCAGAAGCTTGGAACACTGTTCCGAATCAGATAACTGTACACACCTCAGCAACTTCTGATGCTCTGTAATGCTCAGATCAGACCTTCTTCGCAGTATTGTTCTAATATATGGTGATCCGCCCTCAAGCATATCCTGAAGCTGCTGGATTTCATCTAGAAAAGAGCCATAGCCTGATTGGAGACACGAACCACTTGCAACCTCGATAGTCTGGAACATCGAAAAAATTTGGGGATTTTTCTCTCTTCTATAAATACTTTCAAGAGAAGTATTCAAGTGACTTGGTACATATGACTCCACTAAGAGATATTCATATCAGAAATACGCGACAAACTGTGACTGCTTATCGTTTTGAGTTTCAACTCAGTACACTTCAAACTTCACTCTTCAAGAACTCTTTTATTTGGGAAACTGCCTATCCTAACCTTCCTGAGAACGTTTTTCCAAATGGATTTAATCTCCAGCGATTCAAATCCAACGTGTATCACAAAAGTTATCCGCTAGGACTATACACATCCGTCTTTCAGGCGGACGTGTATGCTATCTTGCAGTGTGCAAGACTTATTGAATTGAGACCTCAAAGAAATGAGCGGATCAATATTTTAACAGACAGCAAAAGCGCACTTGGGGCTCTGACAAATCCGAAGGTGACATCAAAATTGGGCTGGGAATGCCATGAAGAACTGAATGAACTTGCAAACAGAAACAAATTAACTTTGTACTGGGTGCCAGGGCATTCAGGAATCACAGTTAATTATAAAGCTGATGAATGCGCTAGACACGGATCATCAACTTCATATATAGGTCCTAAACCAGCTCTGGGATTGTAATGCTCAGATCAGACCTTCTTCGCAGTATTGTTCTAATATATGGTGATCCGCCCTCAAGCATATCCTGAAGCTGCTGGATTTCATCTAGAAAAGAGCTATAGCCTGATTGGAGACACGAACCACACTTGCAACCTTGATAGTCTGGAACATCGAAAAAATTTGGGGATTTTTCTCTCTTCTATAAATACTTTCAAGGGAAGTATTCAAGTGACTTGGTACATATGACTCCACTAAGAGAGATTCATATCAGAAATACGCGACGAACTGTGACTGCTTATCGTTTTGAGTTTCAACTCAGTACACTTCAAACTTCTCTCTTCAAGAACTCTTTTATTTGGGAAACTGCCTATCCTAACCTTCCTGAGAACGTTTTTTCAAATGGATTTAATCTCCAGCGATTCAAATCCAACGTGGATCACAAAAGTTATCTGCTAGGACTATACACATCCGTCTTTCAGGCGAAAGTGTATACTATCTTGCAGTGTGCAAGGCTTATTGAACTGAGACCTCAAAGAAATGAGCGGATCAATATTTTAACAGACAGCAAAAGCACACTTGGGGCTCTGACAAATCCGAAGGTGACATCAAAATTGGGCTGGGAATGCCATGAAGAACTGAATGAACTTGCAAACAGAAACAAATTAACTTTGTACTGGGTGCCAGGGCATTCAGGAATCACAGTTAATTATAAAGCTGATGAATGCGCTAGACACGGATCATCAACTTCATATATAGGTCCTAAACCAGCTCTGGGAGTACCAGAGCTGGTGTGAGTACGAAAGTGAAATTATCAAAATGGCGTCAACCTTTCTATTTGTTAGTTTTCGGTTGGTGACATACTTTTATAGTTTCCTAGTGTGTTCAATACAAAATTACTTCCTGCACCTTTGAGAAAACATTGGGACTACTAAATGACTCTTATAAAATTGTATTTTGATTATTTCATAACTATTACCACAAAACTACTTTTTAAGAGTGTTAGAAAAGTTTCGAAGTAACTGCCAAAATGTTTATAAAACTGATTTGTAGTGTTTGTGAATGGCCGTCCAAAGTAATAGTGAAGACTATAATGTTTCATGAAATTGTGCCAATTTTCAACTCATAACTGTTTTATAAACACATTGAAAACATTTCTGGGACAGATACAGTTTTTTGATTTGTTTTCCCAAAACGTTTTTACAACTATTAGTCCAGTCATTTGGTAGTTTTACCTGGAAAGTTTTTCGGGAGTTTTGAAAATTGGTTAATTTATAAATTCGGGTATGCTCTTCTCGAATTTCAACTTTGCCACCACGTACCCCCGCCGCTCGCGCCGCCATTTCGAAAAAATGGCGTCTAAAAACGGTTTTTTGGGAATATCTCCTTTCCGACGCATTTAACGAAAAAATTTTTAGGTACAAAATTAAACTAGAAAAAATTTCCTACAATTTATGTTTCAATAATTTTTTTCATAAAATCAATAGTTTTTGGCGTACGAGCGCCACAAAGTACATTT